CTCCAATTTGTTGAGATCATTTTGAATTATGACCCTATCCTCCAAAGCAGTTGCAATCCCTCCAAGTTTGATATCATCTGTAAACTTAATAAGCTTACTTTCTATGCCAATATCTAAGTCGTTGATGAAGATATTGAACAGAGCCGGTCCCAAAACAGACCCCTGCGGAACCCCACTTGTTATACCTTTCCAGCAGGATTGGGAATCATTAATAACTACTCTCTGAGTACGGTTATCCAGCCAGTTATGCACCCACATTATAGTAGCCCCATCTAAGTTGAACTGGAGAAGAGATTTGCTCACATGTGTCAGTCCAAGTCAGCATGAATCCTGAGCACATTTATTTCTTAGGGTACATCTACATAGCAAAAAATCCCCAACAACATGGCAGAGAGTCTCTGAGCTCTGGTCAACTGACTTGGGTTCATGCTATGGGGCTAAAAATAATAGTGTAGGCATTTGGGCTTGGGTTGGAGCCTGGGCTCTGAAACCCGGCATGAGGGGAAGGTCTTAGAGCCTGGGCTCAAACCCAAGCAGGAATGCCTACATTGGTTTTTAGTTCCATAGCGTGAAACCAAGTCAGCTGAGCCAGGATCCAAGCCTCACTGCCACTGGGGTTTTTTGCTGTATGTGCCCCCAGTGTTGCCAATTTAGTGACTGTTTGGAAATTTGAATTGAAATTAAAACATTAATACACACTTTAAGAGCATATAAAGTCTATCATAAAATATGTGTATCTGAAAAAGTATAATAGATTTGAAAAAATATGAACATAGACTAGTTTCCTTGTACAGCTATTGTTTTTTATGACCATGTCAGTCCATTCATTTTGGTGATGTTGGCCAACCTAATAATTTCAAATTATGATTTATAAGCAAAGTCTAAATGAGCTCTTCCTGACAGCTAGTGATGGGCTGGGGGGAAGGCTTCAGGACCATCTAATCTACCTAGGTATCCAGCAAATAGAGCTGCGTTGCCCAAGTGATAGATTTTGGCTGGGGTTGGGTTACAAATCACTTGAATGCGGGGGATAAAGAAATGTTGTTATTCGTGTATGAGTAAAAGACAGTAGAACTGTACTTTAGCCTTTGCTGATTTAGGACATCAAGGGAGAGGGTGGGGACAGGTGTTTTGCTTGATGGTCTGCCTGAATCACAAGTACTATTTGACCTGTCTCTCTCCATTGTTTAAAGACAGAGCTGTTTAGGCTTCATAGATAGTCTTTTGTTAAGTGACCACTACAGCTGAAATCACTGATAATCAGGTCTAAGTGCTTAGACCTGCTGTGGGAGAGTGTTTCTGTGGAAGAGAAGTCCCAGTCTGCACTAGCAGCCAGGTTCCCCCAATGAGAGCTCAGCTGAAATCACTGAGAGCTGGTGGAACCTCAAGAGATCAACTCGCAGAGGTGACAGTGGCAGGTGGCAGCAGAAAGTGATGGTGCAGGGCCATTGGCAACAGAGCGATGGAGTGAATGGTGGCACAATGAACAACAGTGGCCAGACCGAACAATGAGCAGATGGAGGAATGAACAAGGTACCTTCTTGCTCCCCATCTGGGAGATGAACTCATGTGAAAGCACCTCTGAACTCTGAGTCTCCACGGACCAAGGACAACACTGGTGAGTGTTAATGAGGCTGTTAAGAATGCTGGAGACACAACACAGTTCATGCGAACAAACATGGCCATGGCATCATACTTTCTATTTAAGCAAGAGATACCACACACTACAAACTGGAGGCCAATGTTAAGTGCATTGTCACTTGTTCATCCTGAAGTTGAACACTGGTTCCGAACAAGACCAGTAAATGCTCACTATCTTTCTGCAAGAAACTCAACTGACTGGCTAGATGCGTATGGTGCAACAGTGAAAGACTCAACAGTTGAAAAAGTGAAGAACTCTCTCGCCACATTCAAAAAATTTGCATACATGGCTGATGAATGCACCAATGCAAATGGGCATCAAGTATTAAGTCATTGTGTACGTTATCTTGATGGCAGTGGTAGGCCAGTAGATGCATTTCTACATGTTCAAGTTACAGAAGAAAGATTGGCTGCATCTGTGACAACCCACATCTTAGAAGAGTTAAATGCATGTCAATTGGACCCCAAACAGATGGCTGCTTGTGCATTTGATGGAGCTGCAAACTTCTCCGGAAGACATGGTGGAGCACAAGCTTTGCTCAGAGGAAAGTGTAACCCTAATCTCGCTTATACACACTGCAGAGGTCACGTACTCCAACTAGCGCTGGTACAAGCTGCAGACTCTTCAAAAGACATTAAAAAAGCTATAAATTGAATGTCTTTATTATATTCTTTTTTCAGCAAGAGTCCAAAAAGACTGAATATCTTGGAAAATATAGAAGATACACTGGGACTGAAGTTCAAATTAGTCTAACCTGGGAAAATCCTCTGGCTTTCTCATGAGCGATCTTTGGCTGTTATCTTAAAATTACTCCAGCCGTTATTACTGGCTTTGGAAAGTATCTACCAAGATGGGATGGATCTAAGTAGTGAGGCTGGTGGATTACTTTTGCTACTACGTTCAGAGAAGACTATTGCCATTCTCTCTCTTGTAAGTCTACTGTTGAAACCACTTGGGTCATTAAACAATGCCATCCAGGCATCTGCTACAACAGTAGTAGATCTTTGTCCAACAATAGAAGCTAAATTTGGATCAATCAGAGAGCTATCAATTGAAAA